CTTGCCTATTGTGGGATGGAAATTAGTCTCATTTCTTCTACTGCATATTTCCAGAGATCATACATTAAGGGACCATAAGATTTGATTCAGTTTCTGCTGCTTTGGTGATGGGAAGAAATATGTAAACTTCTGATTGGATTCTATTAATTTTCTTTTTGGAATATTGATGACAGCTTTTACTTTGCAAAGAATAAATATACTAAAAATAGTAAGTCAGTAAGAGATGATATCTTCAATTATTGCTCATCCTCTAAACTGATAATGGGAATTAAAATAGGATATAATATATCTCGCTCAATTATGGATTATTATTAGCTTGACATGTCAGCTCCTTATTGCAACAAAAATGGAAAAATATCCATAAATGTCCTTCAAAGTGTTGAATGGGGTATAACTGAATTATCCACATGGTGCTTCACTGCTAATAATTGAGTTTGCTTCTTGTAATACCATAGAAGTAGTCTTTGGACCAATACATATAAGTTGTAAAGTTATTATAAATGCTATTCCTATCATTTATTTTTAAAACTAGAATTATATTTCAGTATAGAGGAGATTCTTGCATTCTACAAGAACGGAGAAAAATATATTTAATCTCAGCTTCTCCGGTACCATTCTGAGATTAGTCATAAGAATATCGCACTGAGGGCTCCCATGCCAATCTCTTACCACTCATGATGATTCTACCAAGTTCTTTTACCATTCTAAGTCATGATACCAATTGGGAATTTCATTTCTAGTACAGGTTACTATCAGATCACTATTAACCAGTAGACCCTAATCTCAGGTTTCTGATTTTGGCCGTTTGTGTTAAAATGTCTACATGAGTCAGTCCCTTTGAAATGCTACAGTAAACATAATCTTCACCAACCTTTTCCACTCAAAAAAACTGGAGCAGAAACATTTGATATCCACTGATTCTTTTCTTTATAAAAAATATAAATAACCACATATCTATTACTGAATAAAAATATTTTCCTGTTTGATTTCTATAAACATTAAAATGGCTGGAAGACTGAGTAGTTAAAATCCTATACATTCTGATGCTTTATTTTATCATTTCTTCAGAGAAACTATGCATTGTCGGCTGGCCATTGATCTCACGACCCCCCTGACAGCCTCCCAGCTGCTGGGCTTGCAGATGTGTACCCTCAGACCCAGCTCTTTTCAAAATGTTGCTGCCGAGTAGGATTACATGTTTAAAAATTACCTCATATTTGCATTCATTCTTCTTATAATCAGGCTACTAAAATAAATAAAGTGTGTTTAGACTTAAAAGGTAGAAAGAGTAGGGTTTTTGATTAGCTGAGTGTAAGTTGACATATGCTTCATATTGCAAATGTCATGCAGAATCTTACTACATCAAAATGGTACACAATCGAATTAAAGATTTAAGTAGGACATTTTCAAAAACTGGATTGATCTGTAAATTATCACATGAGATAATGCATACTCATAAAGATAAACAAATGTGTATAGGTGTCTATATTGCAGGTATAGGTTATGAACCCATAAAAAAAACATGAGAGAGAGAAAAGATGAATGTGTATAGGTGTCACTGTTATTGCAGGTATATGTTATTGACCCACAAAGAAAAACATGAGAGACAAAATAGAGGTTTGAAGTAAGGTGAAGAAAGGAAATAGAACAATGTAACACGAAAGTTAGAGGAGAGAAAGGTCTGAGCTAGAGTGACAGGAGCAGGGAGAGAGTAGTTTTGATGTGGGATTCTCCTCTGTATGCGATGAATATGTTTTATTACCATTAATAAAGAAGCTGTTCTGGCCTATAGCAGGGCAAAATATAGAGAGGCTGAAAGAGATATAGAGAGAAAGTAGGCAGATTAAGGGAGATACCATATAGTTGCCGAAGGAGCAAGACGCCAGTCAGATCCATACGTGTAGGCCACAGCCTAGTGGTGATTAATAGGAATGAGTTAATTCAAAATGTAAATGCTAGCTAGATATATGCCTGAGTTGAGGCTGGAGAGATGGCTCAAGGGTTTGGAGTACTGGATAGACTTCCAGAGGTCCTGGGTTCAGTTCCCAGCAACCACATGGTGGCTCACAACAATCTATAATGGTATCTTCTGTACCCTTCTGTCCTGCAGGCATATATGCAGGTAGAACACTGTGTACATAATAAATGAATGAATAAATAAATAAATAAGATAATATATTTTTAAAAATTCTCTAAGAATTAACAAAATACTTTATTCAAAAAAATGCCTGAGTCATCGATCAAATAGAGTTATAATTAATATAGTTTCTGTGTGATTATTCGGGTCTGAGGGACTTGGAAATGAACAAGCAGTCTTTGTTTACAGAGTTTTTATGCACTATGTGTGCAAATACTGAAACAAAATTTATTACTTTGTATGCCAATTTAAGAAAAGATAAAAATTTTGAAATGACAAAAATAGCCCTTTTTTTCCATAAAAATCATCATCAAAGAAATCATCTCAATTTTCAGCTTAAGCTTTTGCAAGTAACTCCTTTTATATCAAAGAAATTATCTAGTTGTAGAAAGTAAAATATATAACAGTCCAAACGATAACCATGTGCATAAATTACTAATAAGTAACAGTGCTCGTTAATCTTTGGTTAATTTGACAGAAGCTAGAATCATTTGGGAATAAGAACCCTTTACTGAGAAAATGCTACCACCAGATTTTCCTGTACACAAGTCTATCGAGAATTTTCTGATTAATGATTGATGTGGGAGGGCCCAACAGTGTCAACCTTGAGCAAGTGATTAATTGGCCCTAGGTTGTACAGGAGAACAGGTTGAGCAGGCCCTAGGAAATAAGCCTGGTCAGTAGGCTGTAGTTCCTACTTGCAGGTTCCTTCCCTCCATGCCCCCCTGCACTGACTTCCCTCAGTGATAGATTTTTAACTGGAAGTGCAGGGTAAAATTAAGCATTTCTCCCTCAATTTATTCTGTGTCGTGGTGCTTTATCATAGGAGCAGAAACCTTAACTAAGATAGTAATATTTACATAATGACAAGGACAGTTTGTGATAAGATGAAGACACATCTGGGAATGTGCTATGGCAGAAGACCTGTTGATTTCCACTCCTACATGAACATATCACACACTTCCTGACCACTATGCACTATGTTTTTCTCAGTCATGGAGTCTGAGCTCATATGGGGGATATAACTGCTGCTGGCTGCCTCTGCCACTTTTACCATTGTCTCAGGATTTTACCATTATTCCCAGAAGAACTCCTTGTTGGTAAGCAATGGAACACAGCACCGTCCAGATCTCTTATATCTTTAACACTAACAGCTAGCTTTATTTTGCAACTTGAAGGCCTGTGTCCTGACCTTAGCTGAACCACTTATGAACTTGTCTGAAATGCAGATGATTAGGTCCAGCCTACTACAGAGAAATCAGAATGGGCATTGAACCCGATACCAAAGTGATCTCTCCATATGTTGAAGTTTCAGACACTTGCCTACCCCACAATTGATTTCTTAGTCACTTTTGGTCCTAAAACTGCACCTATCCGATCCCCAGGCCTTCTTAGCTTTATTTATTGCTGTGTGGATATACTACTGCCTGGTGTTAGAAGGTCTGTGAGGACGGCCAGGGGAAAAGATACCTGCCATGGCCACAGAGAAACCATTTGGCCATGTTTGAGCCTCTCACACATATACCTCTGACAATCTGTATTTTAAAGAATTTCTCTGACTTTGCGGCGACAAAATGATTCCTCAGTCTACTTGCTAAATTGTGTAGCATCTGCTTCATGAAACCGAGTTATCTCCTAAGTAATGAGTATACTAGGAATAGCAAAAACACTGCTCAGTTCAGAAATTATAACCCTAACATCTTGGAAAAAATAGCACCTAAAATATAAAATTGAAAAAGGATATGTAAGCAGTCAATGACTGGATCACATATTCCAGTCAAATTCTCATCCCAACCCCTAGAACAACCAGTCCAAGAAGGAAAAACCTTGCCGTGACCTCAGCCAAACTAGCATGCATGGTCAGAAACAGATATAGAGCTGAGAGTTTCTTTACTTTTTTGCCCCTGCCTTCAATAAAGCATTAACCATGGAAATGCAAATTATTCAACTATTAATTTAAGATGCTCTTTGTAATTAGTCCAATGGTCTCTCTGCCATCAGCCTCCACTCACTGAGTACTCATATCAGTTTTTCAAAATATGTATCCTTTTTGGCAATGAAAGTCCTATAGCCCATGAAACTCTCTAGTCATAGGCAAAGATGAAGAGTTAACCCCTCAAGAATCTACTTTGCTATGCAGTTCCAACACTCATCCCCTGTAGACGTGGTTCCTTCTAGCAGAAATACTTGTCTCACTTCTCACTGATAGCTTATAAATCAAGTGACTTCTTAATTTGCCAAAACCTTGTCTAAAGAGCCATTCCTGGGCAAAGCCGCTTTGTTAGCATTCTGATTTGTTATCCCAGAAGAATTCAGCATACCCTACTGCAAGCCGCACTGAAGTTTTCTTTTTCATAGATGTCACTTAGTATAGACATGATCTGGTCACGGTGGCTTGACCTTCCAGACAGTGGATTCCCTGAGAGACAGGGCTGTATTCTTTTATTGCTGTCACTGCTGCTTCCAGCACATGTTTGTCTATCTCATGAATAAGTTGACTGATGACTTAGCCAGTATGTATATCAGCCAATTAAACTTCCCTTTAAAATTTCTTTAAAAACTTTTTAGGAATAAGGTATACAGTAAGAAGATGAGACAGGATATGCACAGTAGAGTTTAGGCATCTTTTTTGTGTATTTGTTTGTTTGTTTTGAGACAAGGTTTCCTTGTGTTGCATTGGAGCCTGTCCTGGAACTAGTTCCTGTAGACCAGGATGACCTCGAACTCACAGAGATATGCCTGCCTCTGCCTCCCAAGTGCTGGGCTTAAAGGCGGGAACCACCACCGCCTGGCTGAGTTTAGGTGTCTTACAAGGAAATAATGAACAATTAATTAAAATTGATTATCCAGAACATTTACTTACCTCGATCTGGGTGTTGTTGTCCTGGCCATCATCCAGTAGCAGGTCAGTGAAGCCTCTGGGCTCTGGCAAGTCTTGGCCCATGCTGGCTCTGTTTGTGTCTACTGCCTTAAAAGGGTCCGAGTTTCTTTTCCATCTGTGGCTGTATGCTTGTGAGTCCACATCCACCCCATCGTCTCTTTGAGGAAAGGCCTTTGAAACATCATACTTCCAATCTGAAATAGAAACAGGCATGTTACCTCTAGGTGTGACTCATACACATAATACCCATTAGAGTGGAAAATATACTTCTGTTGGTCATTAGAATAAGAAATGAACTTATCATAATGTACCAAAGTACTTGCCATATTAGACCCAGTGTGGAAATCTGAGTGTTACAGTTTAAACATGAAATGTATCCCCAGATTCATATATAGTATGCTTGGTCCACGGACAGTCGGCACTAGAGCAGTCTTACTAGAGCAAGGAGATGACTTGGGTATGTCTTTGAAGGTTGCACTTTTTCCCCAGTTCCCTTCTTGCTTTCTGCTTCCTGACTATTATGGGACGAACAGCCTCTTAGCACACATGCCCCCATCAACATGATGCTATATTCAAAGGCATGGGGGAAACTTGCATGGGGAATCTCTGAATCAGGACTCAAACAAGCTAATCTTTCTTTTTTGTTATTTTTTATTGTTGTTATTGGTTTGTTTGCCCAGTTATTTGATTCCAATTGGTATAAGCATAACTGTTATACTGGGTATTGTGCAACTTCAGGGTATACGATAAAATGAACCAATGATTCCTGTGGTGATCTCTAAGGGGCTCTCAAACATACTCCTCTACAGAAATGCATATATCTTTCCTCTGCATATACACACATAAACACACACACACACACACACACACACACACACACACACACAGAAAAAAAACTGTTCTGAGAAAGCAAGTTAGAAACCTAAAGAATGAAAAACAGACAGCTTTAGCTTATTTGAAGAGAAATGGCACAATGAATGTGTGAGCTTATGCCGATTTTCCATAAGCTATACCAGGCTGCAAAGGCGCAATGATGTGCTTGAATGGGTTAAACATAGTGGAGTGTTCTCCCTGTAAATGTGTTAACCTATCTTGTAGTTTAGAAGCCAGACTTGGATCATTGCTTGCCTCATTTGATAAGCAACCCTCTCAGAGGCATCACAAACATGTTTGTTCATTTGCACTGTCCTCACCTTGGGAACTTGTCAGAGTGGTAAAGGAGGGCATTGACAGGCACTTACAGAAATGGATGGGACAGCAAGGAGATCAAATCACAAAGGTATTTTAAAGCCATCTGCAAGGACTGGCCTTGCTGACCCAGCTCCTCTTGTTACGACATGAGGGAAAATTAGATTTAATCATGACTCCTAGTCTTTCATTTCAGTAGGTCAGTAGGGGATAGAATAAAGCAAGGGTTGAAAATTCAGTTTCCAAGCAAGAGGAACAGCCTTCTGCTCAAGCATTACCAAAAGATAGGAATCGGCACCCTTTTTAACTGGGCTGATATGGGTTCACAAAGGGCCAAGAGAACACTGATCTAATCATGGATGTGATGTTCCTCTCAATACAAGAACGTTTTGTGGAAGGCTGTTATTGAGCTTAATGCAGAATCGGCAACTCATAACTTCAGAACCTATGGGCCACCACCACCACCATTTTTCAGCAACCACAATGGCTAGGCATACCTTGGTTTCAACTCATAAAGTTTGTGGTAATCCTTCCAAACAAGATAGGGCAGTTTAGTTTCACTAAGACCTAAAAGATATTTTAAAGTCTGATATGTTGGAAGCTGGGAAGATGGCTCGGAAGTTAAGAGCACTGACTGCTCTTCCAGAGGGCCTGAGTTCAATTCCCAGCAACTACACAGTAGCTCACAACCATCTGTAATGAAACCTGGTGCCTTCTTCTGGTCTGTAGGAAGAATATACGCAGAATACTGCATACATAATAAATAATAAATTTTTAAAAAGAGAAAACTTACAAAAAAAAGAAAAACTAACTAACTAAATAATGTCTGATGTGTTGATGGATGGAGTCTTAAGACTCCATACAATAATAACATGTCCATTGAGCCCTATGAAAAACCATGGGTACCAAATTCACTAAATTTCTACCAGAAGAAACATTGGAGCCAGAAAGAGGAAGGACTGTGCTCTTATCAGTGAACTGCACACCAAAAGGGAGCCGTATGCTTTGTAAATGGCTGCACAGCATCCCCCAGTGACTGACTCTGCATGCACTGAGTGTTGAAGAAGAACAACTAATTAGGGCTGTCAAGTACACTGTGGAAAATAACTGCTTGCAACACTCTGCCTCTGCCTAACATTTGACAATACTTCAGTCCTCACCGACTGAGGGAGTGAAGGAACACACTACAGACATTTTCTTTGGCATAGGAGTTATAGGCCCAGGCAGAAATAAGTAAGATACCAGGGCTGAAATGTTTTCTTATTTCTTTGCTGTTTATGGGTTCACGGTAATTTATAAAATTCTCTAGGCTTTTGTTACCCTGTATTTTAAGTCACATTGGACATAGCTTATCTGGAAAGGCAAACATCTTTTCTTAAGGATGTGTCTGGCTCTAAGAACTTTGGTACTAGGCAAAATTACACGAAGCAACTTGTTTGCCTCAATTGTATATCCAGCCTCATTACTTTAGATATACGAGGCAGCTTACAACAAAGCCAAGCAATAAAATTTCCTAACAACCACAGACCTTCTGGCACAACGTTTAGGTTAATCTCAGAGAAGTGAATCTGTCTCCCAGGTAGGGTGGTGGGTCTTGGTGAGTTATGACAGTGGTAAGCTGTGCCAAGTCTGTCCTGGCCCCTTCTTTCCCTTCTCCTTCCCTTCATCCCTTTCCTTCTTACCCTTTTTTCTTTTCATTTTTATTTTCAATGATAAAGGTTAGCCAAGATGTACAGTCTGATCTGGGATTCTGCCACTCTACTTCCTCAGCTTCCCTAGTGTCTGGCAATACAGTTGCCTGTCATTAAGCTCAGCTTCTTTGTTAAATAGGTTGGGTCCACTTCTCTGACATTAAGGTTACCGGTTCTCTTCTGGTATATCAGCATAAAACAACTCTCCCATGACCTGTTTTAGGACCACTAGTCTTGTTCTGAGACCCAGAATCCAGGCATAACAAAGCAGGCAGAATGACTATCAGTCCAAAGGATCTTTTACTGATTTTATTTCTCAACCCCTTTCAAACCCCCTTCATCATTCCCTTCAGTCATTTTACTCTAAAAAATCAATTCAAAGGAGCTTCAGACCTAGGAAAGATAATGTCCATATTTCTCATTTAATCTAAAAACTTATTAATATGTTAAGCATTTGTTTAGTACTCAAATTCACTCCTTTGCAGGATTTGAGGGCAGTAGAAAGAGCAGACAGGTTCTCTGGAAAAACATTCTTATACGTCCACGTGACTTCCAAAGTCAGGACACTTGACAGTCTTGGCTTCATTTTTTTGTCATTATTTGGTAATATTTTCTGATTAAAAATAATCTGCTATTCATACTTTAAAATAGTTGTTTTATTCATTGTGTGTATTAGTTGGGTTCAATGTGATATGTCACCCTTTGCTTCAGCATGCAGAGGCTCCATCATACAAACACAGTGATTGATCTACAGTCACACAGCATTGTGCTGGTAAACACTTGCTCCATTTCTACAAACTGGTCAATTCTTTGCTCACTCTAATTGCATTTACAAGAAGTAAACAGACCCTCAGGAAGTGAGAAGTTTCCTAATTGGGAAACATTGTGAGTATGGGGTCTGGGTTTGCAAAAACCTAATGGGTTGCCTTTTTATTCTGAATCCTATTTTCTCTGACAATATTATAAATAAGCAGGCATACTCAACCATGCATATAGAATATATCACTCTAAGTCCATAATTTAGCTAGGAGATGACTCAAGATGGAAGTGTGACATGGGCTTAGATACTGATCCTGTTTCAGAATGTATTTTAGAGAAAATAACATAAATCAAAATGGATGTTTTATAGAAATGAAGGAAGGAAAATTGGAAAAGTTACAGTTGGGTGATCTATGTTAAAATTACTTATCTGAATTTCATGGGCTTTCAAAATGCATACAAATATCTTAAATTATTCTTTAAATTGACAACCAAACAAGTCATCTGGAAACAAGGCAGAGAGAACTGTGGGACACAATGTTTTCCTTCCCAGCTTCATTGAAAGCATGCACAATGGGACAGACCTCTCAACACTGCTCGGCAGACTGTCTGTGCTTGGTAGCTACATGCTACTTAAATCCCCACGGAAAACCTTAAAAGAGAATTCCCCAACATTCCTTGCTACTGTAATTACTCAGTTCATGGAAACATTAATTCTGTTTAAAAACTTCCATTTGGATGTAAGGGGAGAAAGGTTTACAAACACATTTTTCTAAACTGTTACATCCAATAAACAAATGGATATTGGTACATCTTTCGATAGTTGAATAGATTGAAGTAGTAGAGATAGTGTTATTATTAGCTAAGGAATTGCATTATATTTCCAATAAGACAACATCAAAACACCTCACAATGACCTGAAAAGACCAAAATAATCCCAAAGCATCCTCATAGTGTTCTATATAATCTTTATAGTTCCTTCTATGCCTTTGGGATGGTTCATCTTTATTGCCAAATTGATGGTACTTGCGATCACTTAGGAAACAAATCTTTTAGAATGCTTCTACGGAATTATCTAGATTTAATTGATAAGTCTGGAAGACTCCATTAATGTGGGTAGGACCACCCTATGGGCTGGGGTCTCAGACTGATTAAAAAGGGGAAAACAAGCTGAACACCAGAATTCATCACCCTCTGTTTTTCCACAGTGGGTACAATGTGACCAACCATCTTCTGCTCCTGCCACCATAAGCTCCCCATCATGGTGGACTGCATCCCTGGAAACACAAAGGAAGATACACTTTTCTTTCTTCCTTAAGTTGCATCTGTTGTGTGCATTTTTCCCAATAAGACAAGTATTCAATGAAACTCTCTTATACCAGGAAGTAAATAAAGCAAAAGGGGAAAACGTGGAACTGGAATGGATACATCTATTTTATGTCACATCCTAATGACTTTATTTCAGTGTCTTACAAGTAACTGACAGTGGTGTATTGAAAGCATCTTAATCCCTTCCCTGACTACTTTACATAAATAATACTCATAAAACATATATG